GGAAGATCAATTTATCCTACGCAGGTATATACACTATGAAATCCAATTATTCATCACATGTTATTTCTTGGGTACTTGATACAAGATGTGGTTTTCATATTTGTTCTGATTTGCAGGGCATAAGAAGAAATAGGGATGTGGAGCATGGGAAGATAAATTTGATCATGGGGAACAGAAGATCTTCGCGTATCACCAATATCGGAGTTTACTCTTTGATGCGCAGTAGTGGATTAGGATTAGATTTAAATAATTGTTGCTATTCGCCAGATATGGCAAGAAACATCATTTCATTTCATGGTTTGTATAGATAAGGTTTTAGATATTCATTTGATAATGAAAAAGGTTCTATTAGTGCTTATCTTAATGGTGTTTTCTATTTTGAATCATTGCCTTGTAATGGAATATATGAAACAGTGATGGTTGTAGACAATTTAGGAAATGATGTGTTGTGTAGTGATTCTTCCAATGTTTTGAATAAAGCATGTTTATGGCATTGTCGTCTTGGACATGTTAACAAGAAACGCATAGCCCAACTCCAAAAGGGTGGAGTGTTGGAGTCATTCGACCTTAGGGACGATGACGTGTGTGATTCTTGTTTACTTGGAAAGAAGACCAAGTCACCCTTCACTGGCACTTGTGAAAGGGGTGAGGTTTTATTGGATCTCATACACACTGATTTGTGTGGGCCCTTTAGATCCACCACAAAGGATGTGAGCCGCTTCTATGTGACTTTTACCGATGATTATAGCAGATATGGGTATATCTAATTAATCGAGCACAAGTCATAAACCTTTTAAAAGTTCAAAGAGTTTAAACAAGAACTGGAGAATTAGTTGGGCGGGAAAATCAAGATGCTTCAATTCGATCAAGGAGGAGAGTACCCAAGTCTTGAATTCCACGACTACCTAAAGGAATACGGAATCATTTTGAAATTGATGCCACCTAGGACACCGCAGTTGAACAGTGTGGCTGAGAGGCATAATCGAACCTTGCTAGACATGGTTCATTCCATGATGAGTCGTGCTTCACTACCTATCTAATTCGGGGGGTATGCCTTAGAGACTGTCGCCCATATCCTTAACTTAGTCCCTATGAAGAAGGTTGCCAAAACAGCTCACAAGATGTGGACAGGGAAAGCTCCCGCGTTAGCACATATCAAGGTTTCGGGTTGTGAGGCTTTCATAAGACGAGAGATTCACGACAAGCTCGAGCCTCGTAGTGAGCGATGTATTTTCATCGGCTACCCGCAAAAATACTTTGGATATCTCTTCTATAGACCGAGTGACAATGTTGTCTTCGTTGCGAGGAGAGGGGTTTTCCGAGAGAGAGAGAGAGAGAGAGAGAGAGAGAGAACTCATAAGCCAAGGGGACAATGGGAGGAAAATTGATGTTGAAGATATTCAAGATTCGAGCGATGAAGGAACCTCTAATGTTGCTGCTCAACCCGAGGAGGAAACTTCGGTTGAACCGATTAATGAGTCCTTACCTCTTAGACATTCTGAAAAAGTTAGATTTCAACCCCAGTTTTATGGTTTTCATAGTACTACAGAAGGGGATACGTTCATTAGTGATTGTATACTAGTGAATTTGGACGAACATAACAACTATAAGGAACCCATGGCAGGCTCGGAGTCTGCAAAATGGAAAGAGGCTATGGACAGCGAGATTCAGTCCATGTATGAGAACCAAGTTTGGAATTTGGTTGATAGTGTACCAGTTCATAAGATGGTCGGGTGCATGTGGATCTTCAAGAAGAAGACCGACATGGATGGGAATGTATACACCTATAAAGCGCGATTGGTTGCGAAGGGTTTCACTCAAACTCCTGGAGTTGACTATGATGAAACCTTCTCACCAGTTGTGAAGATAAAGGCTATTAGGGTGATGCTAGACATTGCTGCATTTCATGACTATGAGATATGGCAAATGGATGTCAAAACCGTTTTCCTTAATGAAAGTTGGCTGAGGATGTTTACATGGATCAACCAGAGGGTTTTATCGATGCAAAGCACCCTAATAGAGTTTGTAATCTTGAGAAGTCCATTTATGGACTGAAACAAGCATCTCGCAGTTGGAATATTTGTTTCGATGAGAAAGTCAAAGAGTTTGGTTTTCTATGAAGCGAGGATGAATCATATGTATATGTAAAAGCCAGTGGGAGTATATTTATCTTCCTCGTATTGTATCTAGATGACATACTACTCTTAGGAAATGACATCACGACGCTGCAGGAAGTCAAGTCCTGGCTTGGGAAGTGCTTCGCTATGAAGGACCTCGGAAAGGCTGCCTATATTTTGGGAATAAGGATAGTGCGAAACAGAAGTAAAAGACTAATAGGACTTAGTTAGAATACTTACTTGGACAAGGTACTAAAGCATTTTAGTATGGAGAATTCAAAGAAGGGAGAGTTACCAATCTAAAGTAATGCCAAGTTGAGTAAGACTTAAAGCCCGAGTACCGAAGTCGAGATAGCAGAAATGAGTCGAGTACCATACACTTCCGCAGTTGGCTCGATTATGTATGCTATGACTTATACTTGCCCTGATGTGGCCTTCACTTTGAGCATGGTCAGCAGACATCTAAGTGGGAGACTGTTGGATTAGTGTCTATACCTATAACTATATTTGGTAAGTACTTGACTCGGTTGTGCATGGTCCTTTTGGGTTGCCTTCACCAAAGAAACATGATAGGATGATTTATCAAGTGAGAGGTTACTATGGTTTATTAATATATTATATGAACAATATATTAAAGGAGAAATTATATAGTTTAATTAATATTAAACAAGAATTAATTATGAATTAATTTTGTGGCTAAAAGACATTAATTAAATAAAGGGGACTTAAAATGTCAAATGTGTGATAGTTGAGTATTGGGTTGAGAAGGCTCATGGAACTAGGCTTGGACGAAATTAGGGATGTGTCCATCCTAATTTCGGCCAAGATGCCCTATTCCAGAAGGTTCCTTGGACTACTTAAGGCCTAAGCTATCAATTAGGATTTTGACTAAAACCCTAGCAGCACCAATATAAATAGGACCCCAAGGCATCCAATTTTCAGCCACTTGATACCCTAAAAAGATCATATCTAAAATTGTGCCTCTCCTCTCTTTCGATTATCATCCTCTTGCTTGTGTGGTGTTTGTAAGCCATTAAAGGAGTGAAACTTATGACTCTAAGCTCCAAGGACAAGAAGATTCAAATTTTAAGAAGAGGTAATCATATAGATCTTTTTTCTTATGTAGATTTTGAATCATGTATGCCAGATCTAGGGTTTGTAAGTTTTGGATGAATTGCATGTACAATAGAGAAGCCTAGAACCAAGCTTTAGGGTTTGCATGAGCACGTAGGATGTTATTTTGTGTAAAGCCCATCAATTACAATTATAATTATAGTAGCCATGTAATCCTTTAACAAATATAAATACTAAATGTTAAAAAATGTATTCGAGCATGACATCAAAAAAACAGATAAATTATTCCAACAAAATGTCAAAAAAGCATTAATAAATGTACTTGAAGAAAACATCAAAAAAATTAGAAAAAAATAATTTGAGCAAAAGGTTAAAAAATGTTAGTTTTGTTATAAATTTGATGTAATTAAAACAAGATTAGTAAAACTAAACTAAGAACCTTTAAGAAAGAAGAAAGAAGAAAGGAATGAGAGAATTTGATAACTTATATAAAGTATTCAAATTGGTGTATCTTTTACATATGTAATAGTGCTATTTATACTAGTTAATCACTAGACATAATTAATGAGTTCTTACACATATTTGACATATTTATCATAAGAGTTGAAAATAACTCTTACACATTTG